ACATACATACACATACACACACATACAAACATACACATACACGTACATATACATGTGTGAATACATTATTTACATACCAATACATATATATGCACATACACATACACACACACATATTCACATTCAACTTTTATTAATCATAATTGTATTAAGTTGAATCAAATATAATGCCAATTTAATAGCATTTTAGCATTTTAGTTTACGTATTAATATTTTAATCATCCAATGATTAACTACAATTTAAGCGAAGTACCAAACCACCTAGATTATGTGTTTAGAAAATAAGGTTTTAGTAATTTTTTAAAGGTTGTCATAGATTTGGCATCCCTTATCTCTCTTGGTAGTTTGTTGTAGATTAAGGCACCTTCATTCAAAATACATTTTTACCGTAGTTAGTACGTGCTGTACGTAGTTTTAATTCTCTGTAAAATCTGTATCTTAAAATTACCAAAAAAGTATTTTCACTCTGAATAGAACTGTCAAACTGACATTTTCTTTGTCTTACGCACTAACTGCAAGTAGATTATAAATTAACCCTATTTATACGTTTCTCAGTGACAACCACTCGCACTGAAATCCAGCTAAGTGGAAATACAATGAAATTATGATTAGTATAGTCTTTTTATACCAAACCCGCACACACAATAAAACTTAACGTTGAATTGCTTCTATTTTATTTAGCATTTATTTTTTTGATGTGTAAAATCTTTTCTCTTGCTTTTCTGCAATCGTGAGTGATTTCGTGACAATAGACTGAAGAGTGTCTATGGAAACCGGGAAACTGCACGCTATTTGATTTGCCAATGAGCGTGTCCGATGCTAAAGTTGGCCGTCAGATGGGACCAACCTATTTTCCGAGAGGTTGGTACTGTTAGCCAACAGTGTGCGCGTGTGTGTGACGAGAAAGAGAAAAGGTAAATAGAGAACGAGAACTCATCATTTAACCTACATCGTTGTGAAGAAAGTGTGCTGTTGTAAAAATTATTTTATATGCGTAAACTATAATATTATTAACATGTTTTCTGTTGATAATAAGTGTAAAGTAAAAGTTAAGTAAGTAAAGTGTAAGTTAAGCAAAGTGTAAGATAAAAATTCAAGTGACTATACATATGAGCAACGAAACGAAACAAAAAAAGGTTAATTTCTGTCGCTGCGCAATTGATATATTTAATTTTGATTAAAACTTCATTATTTATATCATAGGTATTCGATGTATCCCGTTATTATATAAAACAACATTATTTTATATAACTACAATAACAAACAGTTTCTAGAGGATACACTTTCAATAATACAGGTTTTCATATTTCTCTTATACAATTTTCCTCATACCTTTTAAAGGGGTTATTCCATTTTTATAATTTCAATTGCAATATTAGCTCTAGACCTAAAAATAATCTTTCAAGGTGAATATTATTCAAATATCTCTCATCATCATCATTACAGCCCTTCACAAGTCCACTAGACCTCCCCCAAGGAATGCTACAATGCATGGTCCTGAGCCACCTGCATCCAACGACTTCACTCAATCTAGTGGGGGACGACCTACACTTCGTCTGCCGGTACGAGATCGCCACTCGAGAACCTTTTTCCCCATCGGTTGTGGGTTCTTCGAGCTATATATATATATATATATATATATATATATATACATATATGATTCCGCTTGCGCCTAATACAGGTTGTCCGCGCGCGCTAATGTCTCCGTACGTTAGCTCCCTTTCCGCGTATCGCTCTTCGATATTCTGTTCGCGCTCTATAGCGCCGAAGCTACACTCACCTGCACGGAAACTTGGCCACTCGTGAATTTGCTGATTATTTGCACTGAAACGTTTTTTTAACAGTAAATTAAGGGTAGATGCATTCAATAAGTGTCTCTAATGGTTTTAGAACGTAGAAATTTAATGTTTACTTCACCGAAATTTTTCTTTTCAAGATAACATGTTTTCACTAAAATTAACATCTTTCCATTGTCACTTTAAAAACACTACAAAGTTAAAAATTAAGTCTGTTTCTTTATTGTCTATCAGTTTTAATATCGGGTGTTTCCTCCCCTAGCCCTGATAACCGCTTGCATTCGATCTGGCATGCTTTGAATGATGTTTCTGACATCAACTTGCGGTATGCTGTCCCAAGCGGCCAGCGCTGCATTTCGGAGCTCATTTAGAGTTTGTGGCGGTTTGGAGCTGGACTTTATCTTTCTTTTGAACATACCCCATACATGCTCAATTGGATTTAAGTCCGGGCTACGAGCTGGCCACTGTAATTTTTGTATTCCAACCTCTTCCAGATATTCCTCTACACAATGTGCGACGTACGGGCGTGCATTATCGTGCATGAGGAGGAATTGGTCGTGTCCAATGAATCCCGAATAAGGAATTACGTGCTCCTGAAGAACTTCCTCGATGTATCGAGTAGCTGTAAGCCGATTATCGACGATGACCAACTCTGTACGTGCGTCGGAACTTACACCTCCCCATACCATTATTGAGCCTCCATGGAAACTCACAGTTTGGGTGGTGGTAATGGGTAGAAACCTCTCTCCTCTTTTTCTCCACACTCGTTCTCGACCGTCTGGAGCACGTAAAGCTATTCGACACTCATCTGTAAACAACACTCTAGCCCATTGCTCGTGGGTCCAATTGACATGTTCTCTTGCGAACTGAAGTCGGGCTACTCGGTGCTGTCTGAGAAGTTCTGGACCTCGTGCTGGTCTACGAGCTTTTAAATTCACTTCCTCCATTCGTCTTCTCACCGTACGCTTACTAACATTAACGCCTCTTGCGATTTGGAGCCGCTGGCGTATCTCAACAGCGGTCAGGTAGCGGTTTCTCAAAATCTCCATAACAATAAAACGATCGTCCCGGGCCGATGTGCACCTTACGCCCCCACTGCCTGGCCTGCGGGTGTAGCGCCCTGTCTCCTGGTATCGTTTCAGTGAATACTGCATTGAGGACCGTGGTACGTTAAGCACAATAGCAACTTCACGCTGTGTCAGCCCTTGGTCAATTAATGCTACTGCTTGTGCAACTTGTGCTGGTGTTAATGGCATTTTTATTGGCTTTAAAGCACCTTTAGTTATTGAATTAAGACACAAGATCACAATAATTGAATAACCTTACAGTAAACTTTTCACAACACACAAATTTAAAATGTGAACTTAGTCGCTCAAATGACCCGATTCAACTAAAAATTAAAGAATTCGTCATGGTGCACTTAAACATAATGAATTACCCTCTTGAACTTGAGAGCAAACATTTTTTGACATACCTGCATAACAAAAATTCATCAGAAACACTTAAAGCTTTTGCTATCGCGAGATAACCGCTTGGCCAAGATTCCGTGCCGGTGAGTACGTAAGTGTAGGTAAGTGTAGTAAGTACGTCCGTGTAGGTAAGTGTTTTTCGCTAACTCTACTAAGCTCTTACCCCCCTCCCCCCCGCCTCCGGTCGGGGAGGTTTGACTGACGCTGCTTTTATTATTGTATATATCGTTTAGTTTAATTGTTATCTGTTTGTTTAATTTATAGTTATTTTTATTTATTTTTTTGTGTTATTATTGTGTATTCATACATAAGGTTTCTTAGAATACGTTACTTGCTCTTTTCAGAGCAAGACCATGTTCTTTTGAGAACAAGGGTCCGTACTGTCTTAGATAAGAACGTCCCGTTCTTTTGAGAACGGTGACACCTGCCCCTACTGCCTTAGAGTATAGAACGTCCCGTTCTTTTGAGAACGGTGACCCCCGCCCCTACTTGCTTTAGAGTAAAACGTCCCGTCTTTGAGAATGTCCACCCAAGATCTTAAAGGTTCCCTTTTCGCCGCCATCAATAGGATGGATGACCGTAGGCTCCCGCCGCAGCCCTGACCATTTTGGCTACTCCCGCCGTTCAGGCAAACCAACCGCCGCCCGTTGTCGCGGCCCATCGTGAGTCCGTAAACTCATTCGCCCCTCTTGAACTGGATATGGATAGCTCCTGCTCCGACTCCGGTTCCTCTGTATCGGCCTCCCGGAAGAGACCCGCCTCTAAGTCTGGCACCAGGACATCGGAGTCCTCTGACTCCGACGGTTCTGGTGATTCCTCTTACACAACGGTGACATCCAAGCGCGGCGTAAAACGCGCCGCGAAAAACCGCACCCGCCCCCCGCCTCAGCGGCCTTTGCCGCTCCCCCCACCGTCACAGCCCCTGCCGCTGCCGCACCTACCGCAGCTATCGCTGCCGCATCTTCCCTCGCAGCCCCCGCCGCTGCCCCTGCCCCCCTTATGTCGTTAGATATCCCAGCGCCTACTAAGCCAGCCTCTCGCTGCGCTCCCGTACTTACGAAGAAGCAAGTCCCGCCCCCTGTCTTTTTAAGAGACAAAACAGAATTTACTATACTCTCAAAGCTCTGCTATGACGCAGGCATAAAATACGACCAAGCTACCAACATGGGTGTAGCTATTAAAATAGTCCCACAGTCCATAGACGACTTTCGCCGCCTTACAAGGCTTTTTACAAATGAACGTGTGTCCTACCACACTTAGAAGAGCGTAAGTGTGGTAGGACACAAGAGCGATCGAAGACTATCACTTCTGTTACCTTTATCAAAAGTATTGAGGTGTGGCTGGCATTACCCATAACATTAAAAAAATGGAATAAAAGTCTTTGCTGCACCTATGAAGAACCGATAATTATTAAAAAAATACAAGTAGCCGAATGAATATATGATGTAAATGTATTCATCTGGTTTTGGTATTTACCGGTGTAAATAAAAAGGAATATATATTTCATTCATCATTTTATATAACATCTTTCTCATTTCCTATAGCCGCCTCTTACTACGGCCACGGGGCGTAATGGGGTGATAAATTTTTACGCTGCTACAACACGTTTTTTTTATTTAAATAAAAAATAATTACATTTTTATTGAAAAGTTTTATTTTAATTGACATTCATTTTTTTAAGTAATTTTTTGATAAAAAATAATTAAACAATACGTTCCTTGGATATTTTTTTTCATCACGTTCTCCTATCTATAGAAATGTGGTGACCATATTTGGGCTTAAGCACCACATCAATCTTTAGTACCATCTTGGTATGATTTCCTTTTACACGATAATGTCGTAGTACGTGGGATAGTGTGGTCTTCATCGACATAAAAGCGAATGATTTTCCTGTGGATTAACAATGAAATTTTCACTTGTTAAATTTTCTAATCTTATAATTATAATGTGAGGTATTGCCTCGTTGTAGCTGAATTAAGTCTGCAGTACGATTCGATCGGCTCAACTGGGGAAAAACCACGCTCTCAGTGGTTATTTGCGAAAAAAGGCAAAAGCAAAATAATGCTGCTGTGTTTCGTATCGATGCGAACTTCTTTTACTGGTAACGAAATCAAAATCAGTTATTGGGTTTTTCCTCTCAAGAAATTCTCAGTAGCAGTTCGGAGTCAAGGAGTTAGTAATGTTTCATCATCGTACTTGAAAAGCACATAAAGCCGTTAGCCCTGCACCTAATCTCTCTCCTGTCGTACAGGATTACCCTCCGTCAGACTATGAGAGTAAGGGAATAAAGAGCGCACCTGTCCTTTCGCACACACTCGTGCACTACAATACAGTCCTCCGCAGATAACTAGTAGCCGTTTATCCTGGCCACCGTTACCGAAATTCGGTCGGGATAACAACATTATTATACTAGACTAGTATGGAAGGTCAAATGTTCCCTCCGTAAAGTATTTCTTCTTCTCATCACCTTATTTATTCGAAATATTTTCAAAGAAGAAGTTACAGAATGTTTAACATACCGATACAAATCCTCCTTCCTATATTAAAAGCAGCAAAAGCAGTAGGGCACGAAGGTAAAGTCGCGGTATCTAGCCACCGTTCTGGTTTGAACTCTTCAACATCATCTCCCCATATTGGATGACGATGAATACCATAAATCGACAGGAAACAAGTTCGACCAGCTGTAAGTGTATAATTCTCTGAAAAAAAAAATCGTTTTCTATAAACTTAATAACAAACAAATATAACATGTAATGAAAAAAATGTAATTTTAGCGGATAAGATGAGTACCTGGTTTCTTGGTTGAAATCGGAAATATTATATCATTTGTTAACGCCATCTTGTGATTTTTATCTTATCGGTATTACCGTTACCGTTACAGCCTATTAAAGTATAGATACATTGATTGCCTCACGGGGGGGGGGGGGGGGATATTTTCCGTGGATGCCACGCTTGGCAAGCTGGTTAACAACGGCGTTTTTTTTTTATGTTTATTAGGAAGATGCAAGTGCCCCTCTCCTGATTTGTTTCCCTCTGCCGCCTCTTAAGACACCCACGGGATGATGTGGGCTAGTGGATACTACCACTAGTGGTATATATAAACATATGATAATTTTATAATAAAAGTTTTTTATCTTACTTAGCTTTATATTTTTTTCAAGTACTCTAGCTATCACTGGAACTATTGGATATATGCGCAAGGATTCCTTCAAAACTGCTTCTAAATAAACTAATCGCGATAAATCTTGTTTAGTAACATCCCTGTCATCCGTTCCGAAGACGTTATGTAACCTGCAAAATTAAAATAAAGACTGTTTAATATATATATATATATATATATATATATATATATCGAGATATACCCTCAAACCGGTAAGTACTATGTAGAATAATCTAACAAGGTCAGTGATGACCCGTTGTGACAAGCAGGAAATCGTTAAATACAGTTGACACAGGACTGTGTTTTACGAATAGGCCTAGAAGCTACCACGATGAAATAGAATTTAAATTTCTTAGCAGTATAGTGGTATGCACTGTACTGCTAATCGAACCTGGGTTGCTCGCGTACTGTGAAATTTACAGTGACTGCTTAGCTCCTGAGCTACTTACTGTAAATTTCAATGTTTTTATTACAATGTAATGTGTATAAGTTACTATTATATAAATGTATTGAGAGGCCAAAGTTAATATATTAATTTCATTAAATTTTCATCTGAGCTACTGTTTGGGTTTTAAATCATAGATGCTCTTATGGCCTTCTTATGTAAAAGAAATATAATTTTAGTGTCAGTCACCTGTCCCTATAGCGAAATACCATATGTCATTATGCTGTGGAAATAGCTAAAATAAACTAGTTTAGCTGTTTCAACACTGACAAGATTTCTAATTTTTTACAACATATGCTGCAGAACTAAGTCTGGTTGCTAGTTTTGATATATGGAAGCCCCATGGACGCTTCGTATTTTGTGTGATTCCTATAAAAATGGTGGTATCGACAAGACTCAGGTCTTCCCCATTTATAATTACAGTAGTATTTAGTTTTTTGAGATTTCGAGTTAAATTTTATACATTTAGTTTTAGTATCATTTAATAAGAAATTATCTAAGGTATTTTTGATTTAGATTGTTTTCTCATTATAGATCTTAGGAATAAATTTAAATAACTGATGTAAAAAAAGTACTCACTCTTCAGATATCCGCTCTTGTACCTTTGGATAGGATCCTATTAATACTAACGTAAACATAAGTACGGATGCCGTAGTATCATGTCCGGAGGTAATCATTGTATCTACTTCCTCTCTTATTTCTAAGTCATTAAAAACTCCCGTTTCAATAGATAATTCCAAAAGAAGATCTAAGAAGGCCTTAAATTTGGTACCTAAAAATTTTAAAAAAACATTGGTTTTAGGGATCCGTACCTCAAAAGGAAAAAATGGAACCCTTATAGGATCACTTTGCTGTCCGTCTGTCTGTCTGTCAAGACCCTTTTTCTCAGGAACGCGTGGAGGTATCAAGCTGAAATTCACATCAAATACTAAAGTCTACCGTCCCTTAGAGCTGTGAAATAATCAAACTTCTAAGACAACGCAATCAAAAGATACAGCAGTTTCGCAATTCGCAAGGGAATCAAAACCTACAGGGTACTTCCCGTTAACTGAGAATCTTAAAATTTGGTACAAAGCAACGTATTATAGCACAGATAACGAAAAAAATGCGAAAAACATAAATTTTTAATTCCATCATATAATAAAAATATTTTTAATAATTTTAAACTTATATACCTACGGATTTGTTCAGAACCCTCGGTGCGCGAGTTCGACTCGCACTGGGTCGGTTTTATTTTTAGTTTTTTTTAGTATATCTAAATTTTTTGGGATAGTATTTATTAATTTTTTTTGCCAGTGGTAGAGCAACGCGGCAGCTTCTGCTGTCGCACGGATGGGCCGGCCCGAACCGGGGAGGTACCACGACCTCACAGAATACCAGCGTGAAGTAGAGGTTTACCTCTGCGTTCCGCTTGGTGAGTGCAGGTGGCCGGAGGCCCAATTCCCCTCTCCCCTTAAACATGGTAGCGGAATTGAACAGAAGACTACCCCAGGAGGGTACCAGCACCCTTGGAGAATCCCTCGCTGAGCATCCACGACCAAACTACTCCACTCCTGGGCGTGGGTGCTCAGGCTGCCCCGCATATTAACTGTTCGGGGCAAACTGAGCAACAAGACCAAGGCGACCCCTGCCACGCTTTCCGTGGATTTCTGCAAAATCAGGGGACTTCATTCAAACCTTAACGCCGTCCACTACCATCTGGAGATAGCTAAGCCGACCTTGCTCTTTCTAACCGAAACACAAGTGTCCTCTCCGACTGATACTTCGTATCTCTCCTACCCGGGGTACAAATTAGAACACTCGTTTGTGCCCCGGGCTGGAGTTTGCGTGTACGTCAGAGAGGACATCTGTTTTCGACGCCTCAGCAGTCTTGAAGGTAAGGACCTGTCTATCATATGGCTACGCGTAGACAGCGACGACCATCCCTGCGTCTACGGGTGCCTCTATAGGTCCCATAGCGGTAACGCCGACACAGACCGACTCATCGACCACGTCCAAATGGCTGCAGACTCCGTGCTATAACAGGTCCCATCCGCAGAGATCGTAATTCTTGGCGATTTTAACGCCCACCACGCCGAATAGCTCGGTTCACGCTTATCCGATCATGCGGGGAGATCTGTTTATGATTTTGCCTTGGCATATGGTCTGACACAACTGGTTACTTCGCCTACGTGGATCCCAGATGTGGAGGATCATGTATCTTCCCTGTTGGACCTTCTGCTGACCTCTCATCCGTACGAATATCAGATCTCCGTCGATGCCCCTCTGGGCTCTTCGGACCATTGTCTGATCCGCAGTACGGTGCCACTCAAGCTCCAATCGCAATTGCGATCTGCAGCTTGCCGCCTTGTTTGGCACTATAGGTCGGCCGATTGGGACGGGATGCGGTCTTTTTTTGCATCCTAACCTTGGGGACGGGTTTGCTTCGCGCCGGATGATCCCAACGTTGTTGCCGATTCTGTCGCTGATATGGTACTTCAGGGAATGGAATTATTTATTCCATCATCTGTGGTGCCTATCGGAGGCAGAAATCAGCCATGGTTTGGTCACACCTGCAAAATTGCATCACGCTATAAGCAGGAGTGCTACCGAACCTGGGCCGACGCCGACGAATATAAATAAATCAGTCTCAGCTCGATCTCGGTGTTTGATTGACGCGTGCCTTTCTATATATGTTGACAGGCAAAAACTGAACGTTTAAATCTGAAGATCGAGCTTAGTAGCTCGTCTCACTTAAGGCCAATATGTATCCAGCAATAGATATACCAAGCTGATAATAATGGCAATGATTAGCTTAAATGGTATTCAAATAACTATGAATCTGCTTTATCAGAAAATTATCCTAATTTGTCTATCTTGGGGGATATTTTTTAAATTAATATGTGTATTTCCCCAGTTATAACCAACCACAGTGATATTACTATTTCTATTTAATAAAGATACATACCACTTGGCGCTGCTAATCCGTTCTTCTTATTATCAAAGTACGATGCCTTACGTGCTTGCAATACCTAATCAGAAAATATGCAGAGTATAAAATTACGTGTTTTAATTTCAATGTTTCTGACGTAACAATTATGTCTGATAGTAAACAAAAACTTTCTGTAGTCAATTTTTTTTAATTTCATCATTCTTGAACTTTGTGACTTTATTAAAAAGACCATTTTTTATTTTACTGTTTTTTTACTTAGTTAGGATTTAAATGTAATATATAAGTAAAAAAATACGTCTCAGCCTTTATACCTCCCACTGTCAAGGACAGGCCTCCACTTATTTCTGAAAGAGCTTCGGAGACTACAATAATTTATCAAAATACTTTGTATCTCGCATGCAAAAATTATTCGCCGGCGAGCACGTGGTAAAGTAGTACTTAAATAATAATTAAAAACTTCATAGATACTGATGAAAATCGGACTCTGATTGAACGCATTCTATACTAATAATGACGATAAAAACACTTAATAATATGTACATTTACCTTATCAGACATATTGTGCAATATTTTTACACACTGTTCTTCCTTCCTCTTTAAAGCAGACCAACTGTAGATAAAGTCATTGTGCAGCCAGAACTTTTGAAATCTTTCTGTTATAATTTTAAAGATCTGCTCTATCGCTTGTTCGTATTGAAGAAGAACGCTGTTTTTTCTGAAATCAACTCCCATGGCTGTCACTGTAACAGATATATTTGCCAGAGCTTTGTAATATGAAGTAAATAATTCTTCTCTTATAATGAATAGATTTTCAGAATCAGTGTCTAATTTACCGTAACTTAAAGAAAATATAGATATAATTTATGATAATTAAACATTTCATTTTTTTATTGGAATGATAATGGTAGGAACCGTATAGTGGAAATGTAAGCATATCCACTATCCTAAATTGTCCCGTGTATTTCAAGAGGCGATAGAGGGACACCAGAAAATGGTTCGGATGTTTTGGAGCCAAAAGTCCCTTCGGATGGTTTGGAGCTCAAAAGTCCCTGATTAAGAATCAAAATGTAAATGCATTGGTACCACAGTGGATTAAGATGACTAAGATAATTATGGTCTCTCATTCTCGTTACTTACCTTTTTTTATAGAATAAGGGTGATAAACGAGCACACAGTATAATTGATGGTAAGTGGTTGCTGTGACCCATAGAGATCTAAGTACATCTATCCTCAATAAAGAATCAAAATGCAGATACGTTGTCAGCCGTGAGGCCTAAGATAGAATGCCTCTTTTCTAGTAAAATAGGTCTATGATTCTCTACACTCACCATACGAAACACAGCAGCATTAAGCTGCTATTTTACGCTGGTATTCTGAAAGAGCGTGATCCTTCCCCGGTCGAGCTGACCCATTCCGGCTACAACTATACTATTAATATAGCTACAGCATCGCTCTACCACGTTACATTACCTTAAAAAACATGGTAATAAATATTTTATATAATATGATTTTCTATAAGAGACCGAGAAGTACAATCTGCCACTATGTCTTGCGTATGTGGACTATGAGAAGGCCTTTGATTCCGTCGAAATTTAGGCGGTGCTGCACTACCTTCAGCGGTGACAAGATAACTGACGGCATATCGAACTGCCAAACTATTAATACAGTAGGGCAACGACAGTTATCCGAGTACGGAACCAGAGTACGAAGCCTATCCAACTGCAGAAAGGTGTAAGACAGAGTGACGTTATATCCCCGAAACTTCACCGCTGCATTGAAAGACGTTTTCAAGCTACTGGGCTTGAAAGGATACGGTATTAACCTCAATGGCGAGATACCTGAGACAAATAGTTCAACAAGGTAAGTCCAACTTCGACCGAGAGGTCAATCAACGGATTCCACTCCGCTGGGCAGCGTTCGGGAAATTACGACACATCTTCTCGTCAGGTATACCTCAAAACTTGAAAACGAGATTCTACTACCAGTGCGTGTAGCCAGTGATGAGTTATTGATCTGAGACGTAGTCCTTCACTGCTGGCCATATGAGGAAGCTCCAAGTCGCTCAGCAAGCTATGGAGAGGGCTATGCTTGGGGTTTCTCTACGTGATAAACTTAAAAATGAGGCTATCCGCAGCAGAACCAGAATGACCGACATAACCCAACGTATTAGTAAGCTGAAGTGGCAATGGGACGGCCATATATCTCGAAGGACCAACAAACCATGTGGAAAAAATGTTCTCGAGTGGCAGCTTCGTACCGGTATGTGAAGTGTAGGGTTACTCCTACACTTCACATGGATGGATTGACGACTAAATGGAGTTCAAGCGTGTAGGTTAAGCCACTTTAAAGGGCTATTTCTGGACTTCTATTAGGTTAGTATACCTGAGATGGTGTTATATTTGGAATTTTTTCTGCTTCTTATAATGTGATTAATATAATATATGACAATGAAGCTATTTATAATATTGTCTAATAATTATATTACTTTTTAATTATTTATATTTATTCAATGATGTAATTCAGTTTAAATAGTGGTAGAGCCACGCGGCAGCTTTTGCTGTCGCACGAATGGGCCGGCTCGAACCGGGGTAGTACCACTTTTTACTGGAAATGAGGCATTCCATCTTAGTCCTCACGGGTGACAACGCATCTACATATTGATTTGTAACAGAGGATAGATGTAGATGTCTATGGGCTGCAGGTACCATCAGGTGGACTGTGTGCTCGTTTGTCACCCTTATACTATAAAAAAAAATCCCTATAATTCTTTTATTTACGAAATAATCAACGCATATTTTGATTACCCATAAAAAGAAATACAATTAAAAATAATGTGTTTAATTTATTATGAAAATGATCTTTGTATTATTGTTGTAATTTCTGTTATTAATCCTAATAAATAAATAAATACATTTGATGGAACAATCGTAACGTTATTCTTTCGTAGGGACTATTTAGGTTATTTAAATTTAGATATAATTCCTTTCTCTAGTAATATTGTGGGAGCCAATGAGAGACGTGAGTCTTCTTCTATGACTGTTATTAGAGTTTAGAGATCTTTTAACTTAATATAGATAAAAACTGCCGTGCGGGTTGCATTAAACCTTCCACCGATATAGAACCTAAAAAATAACGCTTTTAATTTTTTTAAGTCCTGAATATTATTGTTAACATTTTGAACTACTCATACGTCACCATTACAGCAGATCAAAAGTCCACTGCTGAATAAAGGCCTCCACACAGATTGCCTCATTGAGTTTATTTGCCCTAGTTGCCACGGTTGGAAGGTAAGTTAGCAACTGCAGTTCTTTTATTTTTAATTTTTATTAGGGCGACGCTGCTTTCTATCTCCTGGTATGTTTTACTCTGCCGCCTCTTACAAAACCCACGTGACTATATGGGGTATTTAATATTCTTGCGCTGGTCAAAATATTATTAATAATATAAAAGTAGTATTTAATCTATAGTCAAAGTATACATATATTCATTTGTCAGGGCGGTTTTAACTGAATTCGGTGTATACATATTTGATAATCAGCGCATTATTATTACGAATGTAATAATTCGCATTCTTTCACGAAAATTTAAAATTTTTTTGAACGATAAATTAATTAGTAATCTTGTACATAAATTTATATGTATATATAAAAATCAATTGCTGTCCATTAGTCTCGCTAAAACTCGAAACGGGAAGCCGATGAATTTTTATGTGTGTTTGTTTGAGTGGGTGTGGGAGTGGTTTAGATTTACAATTGGACCCGGAAAAGTGAAACTGTTGTCGAGATCAAGAATTCACCAGTGAGAAGCCATACCCAGACATCTGCTTCTATTGAGCAGTTTAATGATTTGATATGCAATTTGAATCAGTTTAATGTAATTTAAATTAGACCATGAGACAATAGAGATAATCTTTACCAGTTATCATATAATTTAAATAATTTAGAATGTAGCTTACAAACCCCTTATTGTATGACTCCAAATGATAACAAAAATTATTTGCAACTGTACACCAGTTCAAAATATACAAGGCAATACGGGCAAAAAGTTAAAAATGGAGTTATTCTTAAATAGCAACTATATTCATATTTTATGTATTACTGTATATTGGTTAAAAGTTTAAAAATTAACGTTTAACTTCAGTGTTCACCAGGTGGTCAGTTTTTTCAACAGAGAAACAGTTTTAAGAAGTGGGTCCTTAATATTTATTTGCTAGGTAGTAAATTATTATTAAGTAAAGAACGTAAAGATATTGTGAGTTTGTGTGTTGAGCGTACTGTAGAAATGGCAAGAGTTGATTTTGGGCACCTCATTTTGTGAGCGTCTACAAACCCTCATATTTTATGTATAATACTTTTAAAAATATTATGGAGGAAGTTTTTTAATGCTCTCCAAACTGTGTAAGACATATCATTTTATTTTATCGAGCGGAGGTACGCAAGGTAAGTTTTACATACCAACTTTAACATAATGGATTTCCGCAAATTAACGCCTGATTCTATTATTTAGTATAAATCTATTGTACTATGTAGAGACTTGAATATCAATCCCCTAAAAGATTCCTCTACCAATAATAAATTTAAATCATTATTTAAAACATTTGATCTTTTTCATTTATTTTTGGAGCCAACGCGTATTGCTGAATCTAGTTTTACATGTATAGATAACATTTTTTTAAATGTTAAACCGTTGCATAAATGTATAATCCTAACATTGATTTGTGATAACCGTGGGCAATTAGTTTCGTTACCATATTTTCACAAAAAGCAAGAAATTTAGAAGTAACATAGTGACAAATCTTCCATCACTTTTATACTAAAATAAATGATTTCGAATAAATTTTTTGTATAGGAAATTATAAAAACTTATTTGCAATGTTATCAACACTTTTAAATTACGGAATTTACAGCAAGTGCTTAACCCAGACCACGGCTCTACTCAGCTTAAAATAAAGATAGTTTTTTTTAAAAAAAAGTGAGATTCATTCTCTAAATACAGTAGAACCTTGATAATTTAATCCTCGACAACCTAATAACCTCTATAAATTCATAAAATTTTGTGTTCCCTTCCACACGGAGTCCAAAACCTCATTTACTTAAAATACAAACCCTCTGTAACTTAAACGAATAATTTGGGCATCGCACCTCAGTAACTTAAAGTTGTAACGAAGACGACCTTTGTAACTTCAATCATCTATCAATGAGACATTTTAAATGAATTTGCAAACAATAAAGGTTCCCTGTAGACCATTATTATTGCTTACACGTGTTTACTAAATGACTTTAAATGTAAACAATAGACTAAGGTCCAAGAAACAATGGATACCGTTACTCATGGTGTTGAGGGCGATAATATAGACGAAGATTTTTTTATAGGATTGGGTGACAAACGAGCATACAGTCTACCTGATGGTAAGTGGTTACTGTGACCCATAGACATCTACATCTATCCTCAATAAAGACTCAATATGCAGATGCGTTGTTACCCGTGCGGACTAAGATGGAATGCCTCTTTGCCAGTAAAAAGGGTCTCCGGTTCTCTACACTCACCATACGAAACACAGCAGCGTTAAGCTGCTATTTTACGCTGTTTTTCTGTGAGAGCGTGGTCCTTCCCCGGTCGAGCCGACCCATTCGTGCTACAATTATACTACTAATATAGCTGCACCATGGCTCTACCACGTATGAATGACAGATGAAATGACGAGCCACAAGATCCACCTACGATTATTATATCTGTCAGT